TTGGACAAAACCTTTTGTCATTTTATCATTATCAATGTTTCTCTTTCTTTAATAGATTAAATAATGGATCTTCACCCTCTACTCCCTTAGGTGATTCGGCCAAAGAGAAGAGAGGGAAGAGCATAATATTTGAGTTCCAAAAGTTATTATTTTGGGTGTAGAAAATTGTTATAATATTTTCTTTAAAATATTATTGATATATTTTCTACTATTTAATATACAAGATTTATATTATCCCTAAAATAATCTTTATATTAAATATACTATTATAATCTTTACTAGCATAAAGATTATAGTAGACTCCGGAGATTGTTCGTGTGTCAAAGTTGGAGGCCGGACGCTTGAACGGCTACGTTTGCTCCTTCAACATCTTTTGCTCGACTTCTCGTTCATACCGCTTTACCGGAGAAGGTATAAGTTTCTATCTCTAGCTATAGTTTTAGTACGTGTTCTTGGGCTAGTAATCACTATTGGGAGATTAAATTTTTGTATTTCCGCTGCCCTCCCTACCGTGGTTACCTTTCATGAAATTTATGTGGCCAATGTGATGCATGTTATTTAAGTATAAATATGTTATCGATCTCTCGCGTTATCGTACCACTCAGCTTTATGCTGAGCGTGTAGTCTTTTATCTACACGTAGGTTGAAGCACAGATTATGTGAACCACCTGAGGGACGAAAAGATGATAGGATGCCAGGTTGACATGCATGATTTTCACAAGCATTGCATTTGAAGTTTCGGGTTTGACCCACATCATTGTATTTGTATTATTTTAAGTCTTCCGCTATCTCCGATATTTTGTAAAAGGATCGATCCGAATTTAGTATTTTGTATTTGAAGTTTTGTTTTATGAATTTCATTTAATGATTTGGAAAAGTTTTAAAAATATTGCTTCCTTTTCACCTTAATTCTTATAATTCCAGGTTAAACGAATTGAGGTGTTACATAAACAACCTTTTTTTAGTTATACGCCGTCTATTAACACTACGGTTTTTATTGGTTGTCCTTTAGATATTCAAACTATATTTTCAGATAGTAGTTGAATCGGCTATCAGGCAGCTGCTCGGAAGACCACTACAAGTATTTTCATCAAACAACTATTACGTTGGGTAGTATGTATAATGTTCAGACTATTATTTTTGTCTCATCTTAAACAACTATTTTTTTAGTTGTACACCATCTATAAACACTACTGTTTTGGATCATTGTCCTTTAGACATTCAAACAATATTTTCGGACAATATCAAAATTGTTATCAAACAGCTTCTTGGAACACCACTGAAAATATTTGCATTAGACAATTTTTACTTTTTGTGGTATATCTAAAATGTCTACTTCTTTTTAAAAAAAAAATTTAAAAATTAAAAAAATAAAAAAGAGAGTCATGTTTTGCACATGGAATGAAAAGTGAGGTCGAATGACCATGGAATGCCATGATTTGGGTTGTATTTGCTGACATGGTTAGGCAAGGCAAGACATTGCTTTGCCATTGTGAATGCTCTTAAAGTGGTCATCCTCTTTTTATGTGGATCCTATTTATTTACTCATATGTTTTGTGCTTTCATTTTTATGTGAATTGGATATGGGTGAATTTTTGTGTTCTGAGATGCTTTCCATATTGTTAATGTTTCTATTTTTTGGCACACTTATTAAGATGTTAATTTATTTTCCAAAACCGCAATGAACCGGAAAATTAGAAATAACCAAAATTTCAACCGTGAAAAATCAAACCTAATAATTGATTGTTTTTTTGTATTGGTATACCGAATCGAACCGAACTGAACCGAACCCAAAAGCTAAACTAAACACTAGAAACAGACCCCACCCCTACCAAAACCTGCGGTTCAGTTCCAATTCGAATTGCTTTGCCCACCACATTGACAAGTGCCAAAGCCCCTCATAAACCCTCTATTCTATGGTTCCTTTCCTCTAATCCATCAATGGCTACACTGAGATACCTCATCTCCAGAGCCGCTTCAAAGAACCTCCCTCCCTCCCTGCATTTCCAAACCCGGTTCTTAACAACTCTAAGCCAATTCACCTCCCCGCATCATCGGAATCCCAGGAGCTCTTCATCCGCCAGGAGTTACAGTCAGGACTCTGATCAGTCTATTGCCGCCTCTTTAAATGTCGATCACCGCATCCCAGCTACTATTATTACTGGATTTTTAGGCTCCGGAAAGGTATTGTTGTGGCGGTTCAGTTTATTTCTAGAGGGGTGATTGCATTTTTTCACAAAAAAAGCTGTATCCTTTTTTGGCATCTTGAGACAAGCAATTCAGCAGTTTTATGCACCTTGGTCTAAATTTTAAGTTCAAATTTGTTTCAATATCTAATATATTATATGTGAGATTGTCAAAAAGACAAAAAGGGAACTATTCACAAGCTTAGTGAATTTAATTACTGTTGGATTTTAAGGAGGAAGAACACTGCGAAGCAGTGTTTAAACGAAGAACTCGATAGAATAACGAATCGCGTACGAAACGCTTTCAGATTAAAGTTATTTCGGGGTATACGAAATACTTCAATTGGATAAGACGTTAATCAAGAACAAGCAATCGAAAATCTGTACCCCAATCCATACCACGAGATTCTATTTTATAGAATCGAAAAATCCATGATCGGACATGATCCTTCGCGTAAACATACGCATACGTTCGCGTGGGAAGAAGATAGGCGCGAGTTTGAAGAGCCTCCTGCGGTTTTAGAGTATATTTTGACGTTTATCCGCTAGTTCGAGTCCTTTAATGATTTGGACTCCGATCACGAAAATCTTAAGGATTTTCATAAAGGATTTTCGACCCCGGCCAGAGAGCCCCTTGGACCCCGCCAGGGGCTGCCGCCCCTTGGACCCCGCCAGGGGTTGCCGCCCCTTGGACCCCGCTACCCGGGGGCTGCCGCCCTCGGACCCCCGCAATGAATTTATAATATCGTTGAACGAGCGCGGACTCCGCGCCTCCTAACTCGTTTGACAACGTCTATTTAAATTCCTGTCCGATCGAAGTAAATCCAATTACACAAAATAAATCGATGACACTAAAATCACCAACAATTACTCCGGATATAGTTGTCCGCTTTCTTGTTTGATTTTGTCTGGAATAAGTTGTTCACTTTCCATTTTTCATAAATCTATGACGATAAACTCTCTAAAGTATCCTATGGATAGATTATGAACATTGTTAACATGAATGATTGACAAACTTTTTTGAAAGATTTAGTTGACATTTTTAACTCTTTTCATAAAAATGAGATTTTTTAGAAAGTCGAAAACTAAATCCAGCAGGGAGTACTAATTAGTGCAGTACGCGTCTTTAACAGTAGTTTCAACTTTATTACACATTAAGTATGGAGTATATATATTTTTGTTTGTGTAGTTGCTGATGATTACTATCAATGGAGATATTGTGGATATGGACATTCTTCTTTTGTGTAGGGAGTAGAGCACATTGACATTATTTTTGTAAGAGTAAATTTCATAAATGGTTCCTAATTACAGTTGGTTTTACATATTTAGTCCCCAATTCTGAGATATTACATAATGGTCCTCAATTTTAAAAATTAGTCCATATTCGGTCTTTAAGGGACTATGTGGGAAAAATATTGTCATATTTGACCTAAAGGACTATTTATGAAATAGTTTTCAAAAATTGAAGACCGGTTATGTAAAATCTTAAATTTGAGGACTAAACATGAAAAACCACTTGTAATTAGGGGCTATTTATGGAATTTACACTTTATGTAGTATTCATGTATCATATCCTTTCTTCCATTTCTACTAATTGGATTTTGATTCCCTTACAGACAACGCTTCTGAATTATATTTTGGCATCTAAACATGGGAGACGAATTGCTGTGATTGAGAATGAGGTATTTTCATATCAATTGAGCTGTAGGCGCTGGTGTGCTAAGTTCTTTATAATGATTAATATTAAGTTGAATTAAAATGCTCTAACACAATTACATGCTATGATATAATTTCACAGGACTAAAATGTGCCTCAAAAGGTTCTTATTTAATATCATGTCAGTATGCTACATTTGCAGTTAGCTCTTACTACTGTAAATCAGTATTGTACCTTATTTCTATTCTAAGAGATGTGGTACATTATGCAATATTAAAATGCTGGTAGAGCTGTATACTTTTATGTATTAAGCTGAATAGCGTTTAGTGACCCTGAATGTCTCATTTAAAACAACAACAACAACACAACCTTATCCCACTAGGTGAGATCGGCTACATGGATCAAACGACGCCATTGCGCCCTATCATGTACTATATCTACACTGAGATTAGTGAGATCATTCACGCAAAGGTCCCCCCCTGACCAGTTCGTGCCAAGTCTTCTTAGGTCTACCCCTTCCTCTAGCCATATGTCTGTTCACCATTTGATCAACACTTCTCACAGGATGCTCTATTGGTCTTCTATCCACATGTTCATAACACCTAATATGAGTATCCACCATCTTTCCTACAATAGGTGACACTCCAACTTTAGCTCTCATATCTCCATTCCTTATTCTATCCATAAGTATGGCCGCTCATCCATTGAAACATCTTCATTTCGGCTACACTAACCTTGTATTCATGTTCACCTCACCCTTTGCTGCACAAGACTCTATTCAATACAACATAAATGGTCTAATTGTTGTACGGTAAAATTTTTCCTTTAGGTTTAAAGGTACTTTTTTGTCACATATAAAGCCCAAAGCAGTCCGCCATTTTGAGCAACTGGCTTGAATTAACCAAATAACAATATGCCATGCATACTAGTGCTTCAAACATAAACACGATTAGGTATATGGTGTATTACTATGGTACAACCGTACAACGGTATACAAGGTCGTCTCATATAATTTTGAGGCCCTGTTCGAAATCTAAAAAATGAGCTCCTATTAGGAAACACATTATGCTACTGTATTTGAGTAATTGTATATTCCATCTCCAAAAGAGCTGGAAGAGTAATTGTATATTTGAGTTTTTCACCCATAACACACTACTCTACTAGTCAAACCACCTCTTGCTTTGTCAAAGTTTTGATGCTAGCACCTTTGCTCATACAGTGAGTATAACATGTTAATTAGTAATTACAATATAGACCAAGAGGCAATGATAATAACATGTTAGTGAGCATTTGAGCATAAAGCACCAAGTGTTCCTAATCATTTTCCCCTAAACACATTCAAATTATATCATACACTCGGATGTACCTACTTGTCATGTCTATCCAATGAGCATAATGTAACTCGTAAATGCGTATACACCATAGTTACCACATCGCCAAGACGAGGCGCCAGTGTACCACCATGACACCTAGACGACTACCTAGGCGACAATTAGGTGACCTAAGTTGTAACACATAAGAAATCAAGATTGGTATACATTAATAACACTAAATAACATTAACTTAAATATAAATTAATAGTGCCAAGTCTTCTTAGGTCTACCTCTTCCTCTAGCCACATGTCTATTCACCATTTGATCAACCCTTCTCACCAAATGCTCTATGGGTCTTCTCCTTACATATCCAAGCCACCTTAGACGAGCTTCCACCATCTTCTCTATAATAGGTTCCACTCTAATTTTAGCTCTCCTATCTTCATTCCGAATTCTATCCATATATGTATGACTCCTCATCCATCAAAGAATCTTCATTTTGGCCACACTAACCTTGTGTTCATGTTCACCCTTTGATGCCCAACACTATGTTCCATACAACATAGCTGGTTTAATTACGGTACGATAAAACTTTCCCTTGAATTTTAAAGGTACTTTTTGTCACATATAAAGCCTAAAGCATTTTGCCATTATGACCAAGCTGCTTGAATCCTGTGGTTTACATGAAAAAGACCCATCTTTTTCATATATTTGTTCATGTGATTTTGGTATTTCCTCTATATAGTGGACCCATCTTGGTGTTTTTGAGACGTAGTAATTGTTTACTTCCTAGTTATGTGATCTATGAAAAATCATTTTAACAGACAACACCGATGTAATTTGTATGAAAAATGTCTTATTAATTACAGTTTTACAATTCTTTGATGAATGTTGTTTGGAAGTTGGAGTGTGAGGAGGGGGGGGGGGGATCATTCGCTGATAGGCATTGATTATTTATCATCTAGTGAAGACATCAATATGCTCCAAAATGGTTATCTAGCTGCACTATGCAGGGCCATCAATTGCTGCCTATGGCACACTTTTTATTAGTCATATTAAAGTATCTTTATATATTGATATATGTAGTTTGGAGAGGTAGACATTGATGGCTCGTTAGTTGCTAGTCATTCATCATCGAATGAGGACATTGTCATGGTGAATAATGGCTGTCTATGCTGCACTGTACGTGGAGATCTTGTGAAATTGCTTTTGGAGTTGGTCAAGACAAAACGAGACCAATTTGATCATATAGTGATTGAGACCACAGGTATGCCTACATAATTTTAAAACATAGATTTTTTATCCCTTTTTTGTTTACGTGTGCAAGTGTAAAGAAGTTTACTACACTTCTTTCACTTGGTGGTTTTTGGAAACTAGAAGACTAGCCTCTGGCAGAACAACTTATGCTATTTGTCCTAAAAAGAGTCATGTTTGAAGAAGGTACAATTTCTAGCTAGTCAACTCCATCATGGTACATGCTTTTACAAATTGTGAATGGTCATTTAAAACTTATCTCCAAGACTGTTGGGACTTGGGAGTACAATAACAACAAACCCAATATAATCCTAATTCATGGGGGGGGGGGGGGGTGTATGAGTCCTACATCTATAAAGAACAGAGAGGTGTCTGTTAGACCCTTGATGCATTGCTGCATTTACTACCCAACACTTCATTTAGAGTACGAAGCTATAGAATTTAACTGTGGCATTTTGATTTAATCCTTTATTTGCCCAAAGCTAAAACATTGTCAATAATGACTCTTTTAGCTCTACTGGTAATGGACATACATGATTGTTTGGAGTAACAGATCATTTCCCACAATTTATAAACCATAGGTCCTGCTTGGGCCTGAGCCTCTGTGACCCTGTTACCTGAAATTCAAATATGTTGTCTCGTAGTGTTTATCCCATGAAAGAATATTGGATCACATGTGTGAGAGCGCGTGTCTATATATAATAATATAGATAAGTGTGAAGCTCAGATGTCAGTTATTGAGTTAAAGCAATTAGTTGAAACAGATCACAGCATTCAATTAGTTATAGTTGTTTTTCAGGTCTCGCTAAGCCAGGCCCTGTGATAGAAACATTTTGCTCTGATGAATTAGTTTCAAGACGCGTGAAACTTGATGGAGTTGTTACTCTAGTTGACTCCAAACACGCCATGCAGCATTTACTTGAGATTAAACCTAGATTTGTAGTGA